CCCGGTCGCCCCGCTCGGGGAGGCGACGCGGGGGTTACAGGGGAGGAAGGGGGGAGGAGGTGGGGGCGAAGGGGCGGGGGAGGGCAAGCGGCGGCGGGGGCCGGCCGCGGCGGCGGCGATGCACGGCCGGGGAGCCGGCAACAGCGAGGGAAACCCTAGGGAGCCGCTCCTCCTGCTTTTACTGGATTCCAGACTGGAAGTATGAAATGTCCATTGTCTTTCTTTACAGTAACATAAAAAAAAATCACATGTGTAGAGGACATACCACCCCCCTCCCCCCTCCATCCCATTCTATAATGTAATGCGTATAATTTTTTTAAAGAGTCAAACTTTGCAGACTTTGATCAAATTTATAGAGAAAACTGTTTATATCTACAATGTTAAATTTAAAATTTCTGAAACTACATTTTATGATGAATCTAATGATATATTTTGACATTTTATATGTAGATGTTTCTCTCCAGAAATTTGGTCAAAGTTTGTAAGGTTTGATTTTTTTTAAATCTATATGCACTACATGATGGAATGGAGGGAGTACATTATATGTTGCTTTTGGCTCGAGGGAGTATATGCATCTAGGCGCCAAAAATGTATTATGCCAAGGTCAAAAAAATGTGGAAAAAAATATATGTGTTCATTGTCACACCCAAATAGTACCTGCAAATCTTTAGGCAAAAAGTTTAAGAATGTTGACCTGTGCAAAAAAAGAAGTCAACCGACAAATGTTACCGTCAAATGGTGCATTTAATTTTGTTTTTTTTCTCCGACGAAGCAATGCTACCCCGTTGCGCGTGAAAATTGACAAGCAAGCTTGTTACACTAGCAAATGTTTTTTGAAACACACTTGTTACACTAACATGAACAACTACAAAAAGAATTAGAATTTTTAGAATTTATTTTCTGTTTGTTTTTAATTTACTATTCACCAGCGAGCATATGCTCCCTAGAGCCAAAACTTCAGATATGCCAACTTTGGACTCACAAATAGCAAAAGGCATCCAGATGATTAATGCAAATGCAGTGATCAGCTGGCAATGCATGTACATGCTAGACCACAAGAGAGGATCCATTCCATGGTAACTCTGTTAATGTAAGGGCGCTGTGGTGCATTGCTGGGCAAATCTCCTTTGGCAGTGGCCGGTGGATCGCCACCTTGCGCGGGTGCGAACACTGCAAAGGAAGACTAGCCCGGTAATGCATGAGCCCTACTCCATCATCATCATGTGCCCACACTCCTGACTTCTGCTACGCCTTATTTAGCACAGGCTTCTCGGTGAATTGGTCTCTGAACCTTCAGGTTTTCGCCTTCCATACTTATAGATGCGCACACGGTCTTGGACACGCGCTACAGTGCGTAGGATGGATATTTTCTTTAGCAAAGTATAAGGGTTGGGAAGCCCCTGTGTGGCTGTCTCGGACGATGACATATGGAATCGGCATTTTCTCGATCCGACCGTAATATCCAGTAGCTCCTTCTCCCTCCCAAACATGCCCTTGACTGGTTGATCGTTCTGTATGATCGGGCTGACGTGTCTGCTGCGGTTAAGCCGGCCGCAACTGATCAATCGTTCCTACGATCTTACAAAATCTCTCTGAATATTCCTGACATGCGGCATGTGGCATATGCCGCAGATATATGCTACTGGTAGAAAGAGCTTCAGAAGCATGCATGAAATCTGAACATGTCGACCCAAACAACTTGTGATTTTGCTCGCAACAAGTCCTCGCTCTTTAGTCTCAAAAAGTGGACGCATATCCACTTCTTGGCAACTCGCATATGCAAGGGTGCACGTGCTCTGTTGCCGTCGGGCCGAAAGGCGAAGGATGAGCAGTAGCAGGCCGGGAAGATCCTGCGGAATGTGCCCTGGCTTAACTAAGCTGCCAGTCAGATTGAGAGTCGAGCTGTGAGCGATCTGATGGATCGTATCTGAAGGAAGCAGAGCAAGCCGCGTACGCCGAGGAGAAACGAAAGCTCTCTCTTGCTTTTAGAGGGAGGGAATAGAGGCCAAACAAAGGGACCAGCATTCCATTCCGGAAACAAAATCCCACCGGAGAATCGATGTCCCGATCGATCGCCATCAATCAAGAAGGAAGCTCCTTCCGAATAGCCCCCGCCTCGAGAATATGCCGCGCAGGATCCGTCTCTCGAGGCCGGCCACGCGCTAGTAGTATATATGCACTCGCCTACGATCAGCACAAGCAGCAGCAGCGGCAACCAGCAATGCGGCGGACCGTGAATTACAGGGCAATTCTCCTTTGGCACCGGTAACGCAAGGCTGCATGCATGCATGCTCTTTCTGGTGACCATGCTGATTAGCCCTAGCCCAGCTAGTGCCAAAGGAGAATTGCCCTGCGATTTTGCGTGCGCGGATTGGGAATTCCTTGTGCTGCTGCTGCTGCTGCTGCTTTCTTCAGAGAGAGACCTGCTAGCTCTGCATCTGCCAGCTCTTCGTTTGCTTCCTCTTTGTCTTTGGTCGCTCGCCGGCCGTCGCAGGGTTTCACTGTCCTGAGCAGTCGTAATTTGTTTGTGGCTTTGTGCTATGCAGAAGCAGACTTGTAGTTCCAGTCCAGTTGCTGCCGCGCGGTGCGGATGCATGCGTTCAGCAGATCGAGGCCTTCACCCCTGTGGTGTTGTGGACGGCGATGCTGGTCCGTCGTCAACCTTTTCCCTGTCGTTAGCAGCCTAGCTAGTCGAGGTAGACGTCGAGATCAGATCTGGCCTTATAAAAACAGCCGCTTGGCCGTGCCGCGTTTACTTGGGATTGTTTGTTAAGCCCCTCGTGCGCGCCCGCGTTGCGTGCTGCGGTGCCACTCTCACGCCCGACGTTTCTTCCGCATGAAGCAAATATCCAAGCACACTACTGTAGCGCATAGTAACACCTCACCAGGTAACCCTGGCCGGCAGCTTACCTGGTCAATCCATATCTAATCGAATAGCTAGCTAGCTGGGCACGCTACGGTCGCCGACGTGTGTGCATCGCGCATCGGGAGAGGCCGGCCGGGAGTCAACCAATATGTATAGGAGTGCAAGTTGGTGCCAAATGTTCGTTGCCATGCCAAACCGCGGAGAAAAGTTGAGGCGTCGGTTCATACCATGACATGCGGTGCCAGACGTGAAATTAGCCCATTATTCATTTCTTTCTTCATGTTTTGTGAGGTTGTGAGCGAACCCTTTACTCCAAGCTAAGGAACTTCGTGTCGTGGCTGCTCCACACCGCCGCAGTCTTTTGAACTGAACTCCGCTGCCTTCCCGTGCGCGAAACGAGTGGGCGCTGTGTCGTGGGTCAGTTTCGGGGCGGGGGGCAGAGAGAGACCAGAAGAATGATTCATTTGGAACGACGAGCCATTTCGCGAATCAATCGAATGTCTCTCTATCCATATCAATTCTATCTTTATATGACGGGCCATAAAAATAGAAGTATTTTTTTATGGCATGCGAGTACTCCCTCCGTTTGAAAGCATTTGAAGTTTAGGTTTAGGCCTCCTATGATTCTAAGGATTTTCAGAAATTTTGGAGGATTTTAATCCTTAGGGTTTGCTTTCTATGTTGGTTGTTTAATTCATACTTTCTTCATTCTAGAATATAGTGCGCCCGCGCTTACCGAGGTCTAACTTTGACCATAAATTTAACCAACGAGACCAACTGCGGCAGGAGAAAAAAATATATAATTGAAAACTTCTTTCGAATACGAATTCACTGATATAATTTTTGCTCCCGCCGCAATCGGTCTTGGTAGTTAAATTTACGGTCAAAGTTGAAGCACGGGAATAGATGAAGCACTACATTGTGGAATGGAGGGAGTATGATTTTGAAGATTTTTTTTTTGAGGATTTCTTTGTCCTACTTTCCATATATTGGTTTTCTAGCATCTAATCAAACCTCTTTGAAAGAATCTTTTATTTTTTTTATGATGCAATCAAACAACCCCAAATCATGTAGGATTGAGATGACCATGACATTTCAATCCTATGTTTTTCCCTATTCCAGCGTTTTTAGAATCCTATGAACCAAAGAGGCCCTTATTTTAAGCCAACCTTTTTTAGTTTCAAAAGTCTATAGAAAATATACCAATATATAAGATATTAAATTAGTTTCATCGTATTGATCATAAAGTACATTTCCATGCTCTATACATTTGATGTTGTGGATATTAATAAAGTTTTCTACAAACTTGATTAAACATAAGGAAGTTTGGCTTAATTAGGACAAACCTAAAACTTTAAATATTTTGAAATGGAGGAAGTAGGATTCAGAGTGCTTGACAAGTAATTGCTGAGATTGAAAGATTTCCACCGCCATGAGGAATTCAAGCTTATCCTCTTCATGCGTCATGACAATGACCTTGACCTAGGCAATGTACAACGTAGCAGTGCAAAAGTTGAAGATCTTCTAATGCTCACCACTTTTTATTTGTGTGTATCTACCGGCGACCGGAGTATTGAATTGATGAATACTACTACAAGACAAATGATTCAACCAAACCATTGACAAAAGGGGTTTGTATCCCTCTCAATCTCTCGTCCAATCAATATGTGCAATCGTACTGACCTCAGATTCTTCTGTGTGCTAATGTACACTGTTTTAAATAGTCCGCTATAGCTCCGCTATAGCACGCTATAGCGTTTATAAAAGGTCTTGCGCTAAGAGACTTTGGTCCAAACAAATGAATAAAAACATTTTAAATAGCGCGCTATAGCTCCGCTATAGCACGTTATAGCATTTGAAAAAGGTCCGCCTCTAAGATGCTTAGCGCGCTATTTAAAACTTTGCTAATGTATGAGCAAAAGAAGGTATACCAAAAGAAGGTGAGAAAACTAACCAACAAAAGCGCAAGAGAACGAACATGAAACTAAAACTGCAATTTTGTCCGCTCGATCCATCTTATTGGAGGCCTGTCCCACATGTCAGACAAGACATGCTCACGTCATGGCAGTGCCCTCCGCCGGCTGCTCGACCTTGACCCCTCCTGCCATTGCCGCCAGGCCGTCGCGGGCATATTGCCGCCGGAACACTATGGCGCATTCCGGCAGCTCGCCGAGCCCCGCGAACATCGCGTCGTCTTCTTCGCTTCCTTCCCGGCCGACGGCCTCGCCGCCGAACTCGTCCGGAAGGAGCGCGGGCGTGTCGACCTCGACCACCGCTTTGCCGAAGAACATGGGCCCGTACAGCAGCATGTCGTCGGCCGCCTCGACTTCGGAGGGCGAGGTAGACGAGGTGACCGACACGACGTCGTAGAGCCACCGGAAATCGTCGTGCACCTCGATGGCCGGCGCCGGGCTCGCGGTGACTAGACCGCCGGCAACGTTGGCGGTGCCATGGTGCGTGCCGTCGGATTTCGCTGGCTCGGGCGACGGGAGCGGCCGCTCCTTGCTGGGTTTCGGTGTCGGTGTCGGGCGGCTCTGCGCCCTCGCCGCCGTGCTGGAGTGGTTGTGCTCGTAGGAGTAGGTGATGAGCACCGTGTCCGGGTCGGCCTGGCTCCTCTCCACCTGCTTCCTCGCCGGGCACCCCTTGGAGCTACTGCACCGGTAGTAAGCCCTGCTCGTAATTGAACACCAAACCCAGATCAGCAAACCTCACCATGCATGGTCTCAATCGAAGAGCACAAGAACATGTCAAACGGAGCAAACTAATCCGTTGCATGCCGTCCCAATCCAGTACAAAGTCCGAGTTAATTGCAGAGTTATGGTGACTTAAATTAGGTCGTACATGGGCGTACCTTGGGAAGGGTGAGCCCTTGATGGGCTTCTGGCCGTACTTCCGCCACGCCCACGAGTCGGTCGGCGTGTTGCCCTCGCCGACGCCCTTGGGCCGCGGGACGTTCAGGTCGGCGAGAGGCACGGTCACCACTCGCTTCTGCAACGATCGCCTCCTCCCGCTAGTCGACGGCACCGCCGGTGGCGAAGGCGACCCCGGGCTGTTGCGGTCCGCCGAAACGCCGTCCCCGCTGGCCTTCTGCTCGCCGCCGGACACCGCCCCGTCGCTCCACTCGCCGTCCATGCAACAAGATCGGAGAAGCACAAGCTAGCAGACGGTGGACTGTCAGCCGCAATCGACCGATCGGAAATGGAGTCGGAAGAACGAGCGGGGGGCGGAGGGGGTAGGGATCGATATGCCACCGGCTGCAACGGACAAGCCGGCGATCCGCCGGATATAAAGAAACCGGGAGGTGGGCTGTGCGAGTGAACTAAACAAACACGAGGCCGTGTGTGTGCGCGCGCGCCTGTATCATGTGCCGTCGTGACGCTGCGGCGCTGTTCGAATTCGTGCGATAGGGTGGGGGCTGGCCGTGGCCGTGGCCGGGGACGGGGACGTGGGGTTGTGGGCGCGCACGCTGCGACGGGCGGGGGATTAAACAACAAGAGAGAGACAGGCTTGGCTTGAGAATACGATCGAGCGTGTGACGGCGACGCCTCCCCAACTATTTCATCTCATGCACTAACCTCTGCGTCGATCGGTGTCATCGTCATCTCATCTATCAGTCAGCTGTCCCTTCGATCTCAATAACGCACCCATCGACCGGCGAGTAGACGAGGAGTAGCAGTTTTCTAGAATATATGTACGCGCAGGGGTGGTTGAAAGGATAATCGCGGGAGTTTTTTAGACTTCAAGAGCTTTCTTGACGATGTCTCATGGTAGAATTTTCAGCTACATGCATGACCAGTAAATGGCATGGTAATTCTGGTACAGACCTGGTGTTCTCTCTTTGCTTGGAGGAGAAACAATGATGTCTGCGATTTCAGATAATCATAATTATACTGTCTAGAACTCTAGGTTAGTCTGCACTGTCATGCTTGATGCAGTTAGCTCGCAAAAAAAAATGCTTGATACAGTTGTAACCCGCGTACAAGCCAATCACCGCGTTACAGACAGATTGTGCGCTCGATCGATCGACCGTGCATGCCATGATGCAAATTTTAATGGGTTATTCAAACCCGTTCAGCCATCGCATCACCATCCCAATTTTCTGCTGCTTTGTTTCTTTGTTTAATCCTCGATCGGATGCATGTCCTCAACTTCTCATCGATCTCGACTCGTTCCCACTCCGGTCTCAATTATGAGGCGCATGGCATCACCGCATCGCGCGGCGCTAGCTTGATGCATGCAATACAAAACTACAGCAAGGTTTGACAAAGGCTTAACAACTTGATTAGGTTATCCCTGAAATCGCTGTGCTGCTAACTAGCTATAGTTCATACGTTGCCACGCGGAAACGGCTGTTGCAATAGAAAAGGAGACTGCGGATGGAAGATTCTGACATTTTGTCAAGACCATTTGAGCAGTTCACACCGCTCCCACTGTGTTGTGGTTTGGCTCTGTGTGTAGTGTTCCCTCAGCGGGCTCGGGGTAGACGACGATGCTGGTACGGACAATGGTCTTGCATGTCTGGATTCAGTGCTCTGCATCTATACTATGACTTGCAGATGGGTCGGACAAGGCAGCAGTTCAGCAGCTGAGAAAAGTCTATTACGCCCGGTAAGGCCCAAACTCTTCAGGTGCAGCTGCCATATTGAAGAAATCGTGAGCACGGGAGTTCCTACTGGACGCATTAAGCTTTTTTTCTTTTGAGGGAACATTGGACGCATTAAGTGTCAAACTGCTCCCAAAAACGAAAGCATCAAACTGCCATGGATTCGCACAAAAAGCGAGCAAACCGGGCCTGCCCGTTAAGGCATCTGTGTTGCCTGTTTACTTTTCGTACGCATCGAAGCACTGTAGCACAAGAAAACTGAAGCGAACCGGGGAAATACTGTATCGCCTTTTTGGTCAGTTTTTTTTATAAAAAAACTAAAATTCTTAAATAGTTTTGGAAATGAGATTTTTTTTAAATTATGAATATATTTTTTGAAAACTTGATTTTTTTTAAAGCGAACATTTTTAGAAAACACGGACACTTTTTCACACTATTGAAAAACTTTAAATCACCAAAAATATGAAACTTGAACGTTTTCTCAAATTTTGGAAAACTCAAACATTATTTAAAACTTCAAACATTTTCTTGGAAAACGAGGGATTTTGAAAAGTTCCCGAAGAAATTTGGGAACAGGAATAAATTTTGAACGTACTGATCATTTTTGAATTTCTGGACATGTTTTGATAAACAGAAACTTTTTCTAAAATATGCCATTTTTAAAGAATTCTCTACTTTTTAATTTGTGAACAAGTTTTTAAACAGGAACATTTTCTGAATTAGTTAAAAAACTCAAACTGGAATATATTTTGAAATTTTAAACAAAATTTCAAATTCCTGATTTTTTTGTAACAAGTGAACTTGAAAAAGAAAAATAAAACCCCCAAAAAAAGGGTAAAAAATCAAATGGAAAATAAAAATCATAAAACCATACAACCTTCTGGAAAGTTCCCAAAACAAGGAAAACCTGTAGCATGATTTGGGCCTGCCCATGAGTGTAGTACCCGTGCGAATGGACGGCAATCTGCCGAAAAATGCGTCAAATACGTTTTTCCGTGAAAAGGTCTTATTCGCCACTGAGTGCAACAAACAGGCGGGAAAACGCCCATAAAACCGCCTTCTATATGGCTAGCTCGAAAATATGTGTAAAACAATATTGTTGAAACAAGGTTAGATATTGAAAAACAGTATATTGCAAAAAAAAACTGGAAACATGTTGAGGTAGCAAAATATAAAAATGAATATACACACACACACACACACACACACACACACACACACATATATATATATAGTGTTACTATTCATCAACCAGGGTGCAGAATAAGTTATTCTTCACCTGAGGTAATCTTACGATCATTTCATAATTAAATTACATTTCGAATTCAAATAGTTGCATTCCTATTGATTCACTATGTAAAATTTGACATAAGAAAAAAAAATATAGGTCATAAGACAAGAAAATTTGCAGTTTATGTGTATTTTAGACTATATTTTTATGTTTGTAATTTTACATAACATAAAATATTTTTTACGACGATTATATATTTTCTTACGATCCCTTTTTACGTCGGAAATAAGACAAAACTTACGGAACGTAAATTTACGATGCATTGATGATGAAATAGAGGGGGGTGAAGAATAACTATGCCTCACCCAGGGTGACGAATAGGTATATATAGGAAAATGGTTGTGTACTCCTGGGAGTACGTACTCTCGCTCCTCAAATACCACATGGATGAATTTTTTATAGCTTATTATTATTTTTAATATACTTCATTAATAATTACTAGATACCCTAAAATGGATTTCAGGAAAAAAAATCATGTGTGCCTCATATTTTCAAAGGTTTACGTATATACTGATTTGTTTGTACGTGAAAAAGGTATATTACAAAAAGTAGGTCGTAAATGATATTTTTTTCAACAAGACTTGTATTGAGGTATCTTAGAATATTTTAATGAAGTATATTGAGAATGATAAGGGGTATAATCAATGCATATACGGGGTATATTGAAGATGGGAGTACATACTCCTAAGAGTACAGAAAATGAGTCATATATATATATATATATATATATATATATATATATATATATATATATATATATATATATATATATATAGGGAAAATCCATCCTACCACCCGGTGGTAGTTACCTCACATGTCTCATATACTAGGATGTGGTACTATATATACTATTTTATTATTTTAAATATGTTCGTATACTATATCTAAGATATTTCAAAATAAGTTACATGAAAAAATT